GGGATTTTTTTTTTTTTTTTTTTTTGCTCAGGGGGTTGCCAGTACAAAAAGGTTTAGACTGTAGGAATACATCTACACTGAAAGCTTATTTCAAAATAAGCTCTACACTCTAGGGAAGCCTCAAAATTAGTCTGAGGCAGGCTTCCCTAATGTAAACATGCTATCTTGATTTAGAGCCCCAGGAGGCACTGGGGAGGAATAATTTAGAATGGCCCTGGTGAGGGGCTATTTAGAAATAGCAGAAGTGGAGTGTCTACACACACCTTATTTCGAAATAGCTATTTTGCAATACAAGCAATCCCCACACTTATGACCTAATTGATTCCTAGAGAACTCTCATAAGTCGAGCCATTGTAAGTCGAATCCTTATTTCCCATAGGCGCAATGCTATAAATGACGGTTCTGTTCCTGGAAATCCATTTCATACCCTAAAAATACCAAAATTGACTATGGAAATGGAGGAAAACTAAACTAAATAGTTTAAATAATGCAGAAATATAACTAAAGAGTGAAGACCGATGTGGTGGAGACGCATGCAGTTCAAGCAGCAGCTGTAGACTGGTGAGTCTGGACTAACTTTGTATGTTTCCTGTTTTGGGATGATGCAAGGGAAATGTGGATGCAAGACAGAGGCGACCTACTGTGGGACCTGGGAGAACATCTCCCTGAGGGCCTCTCAGATGTGCACCCCATAGTGGTGGGCCTGCCGAATGGCAGCTGTCCCGGGCTGCTCGAACTGCCTGCCATCCACCCCACACAACATGCTGAGACCACATCCAGGATATTCTGTTCACCCATGTCAAGACGGGTGAGCAGACAACGGAATCTCGCCTTCAGCCAGCCAAAGGCGCACTCCACCTGGTTGCGGGCCCTGTTTAGGTGCAGGTTGAATAGTTCCCAGCTGAGGTCCATGCGTCCGGTGTATGGCCGCATCAGCCACAACTTCGGGGGTAGGCCGCGTCCCCCACGATGCACAGTGGCATGCAGACATCCCCAACCATCAATTCCCGCTGGGGGTAGAAAGTGCCTGCCTTCAGCCTACAAAACAGGCTGGAGTTTCGGAGGATGTGGGTGTCATGTGCCCTGCCCGACCACCCCACATTAATGTCTGTGAAGTGGCCACAATGGTCCAAGAGGGCCTGGAGCACCATGGAAAAGTACCCCTTCCGGCTGATGAAGTGGGCTGTTCGATGCTCCGGTGCTCGGATGAGGATGTGGGTCCCATCCTCGGCTCCCTGCAGTTGGGGAACTCCAGGGCAGCAAAGCCAGCCACAGTTGCATCCATGTCATGCAGGCAGATGACCCTCGAGTAGGATGTCGTTGATGGCTCTGACAGCCTGCAGAAGGGCACACAGAATGAGACAGGGTGGATGCATGAGCCCTTGGGGGATGTCTGCCTCCCTCTGATGGCCTCTGTCCTCAAACATGCCAGGGCCCTCTTGCCCTGGAGGTTCCCCCCCAACAGCAGGCCTATGTGAGGGAGGGACGGCACAACCGCCAGGGTGACGTGGCTTCCCCCCCCCCCCACCCCGGACGATTCTTCCCTTCCCCCTGGGCCCTACTTGTATCAATTTGGCACCAATTGTGGACTTGCCCACCCTGAACTGGTTTGCCACCAAACGGTAGCTGTCCAGGGAGGCCAGCTTACACAGGGCAATGGCGAGCCTCTTATTCATGGGGATGGCGGGTCGCAGCTGGGTATCTTGTCTCCAGAGGGCAGGGGCGAGCCAGGCACTCAGCTTCAGGAATGTCTGCTTCCGCATCCTGAAGTTCGGAGCCACTGCTGGTCATCCCAGTGCTTCAGGACCAGCTGGTCCCACCAGTCGGAACTGCTGTTAAGTCTCCAGTATCACCTTCCATAGTAGGGTAGGGATGCCACAGCAAAGCCACCTCATCCAGGGAGAGAGAGTCCAGATTGAGCTCGAGCTCCTGCAGGAGTAGCATGGCAGCATGGAGCAGCATCTGCATGCACTCCATTGGCCGTGTGGGGCCAGAGCAGGCACAGGGCCATCTCTGGCTCCATAGCACAAGAGGACGAAGGCAAAAGTCCCCAAAGGCACTAAGGCAAAAGCTGTGGTGTCCAAAGAGGCTGAGGGCAACCACAACAAGCACTGCTACAGCTTTCAGCCCCTAGGAGAGGTTCCAAAGCACACAGCAGCAGAGAAACAACTGTCCAGGGAGATCTCTTTAAGCTTGTCTCTCAGCGGGGCTCCGACACCCGCCTGCAGAAAGGACTGGTGATCTTTTGCCCTGTCCAAAGTGGTTCCAGGGGGGAGGTATTTGCACAAGAGCATCCACTGCTTTCTGCAGTGTGGATGCGCTCTTGTGCAAGAACTCTTGTGCAAAAAGTTCTTGCACAAGAAGCCTGCAGTGTAGACATAGCCTTACTGTGTGGCCTTGGGCCCTTTAAAATATACCTCTTTTCCTAGCACACAGGCTTCAGAATATTTCTCAACCAACCAAGTAACATGTTAAAGCTACAATTTACCTTGATTCCATTATGTATACATCTTTTCACCTAGCAGAGGCAATGTTTCTAGTTGTCCACATTTTAAACATGAGGAAAACCAACTGCCTTATCTACTTTATAGTGTAGCTTGAAGATTAGTTAATGTTAATAAAATGGTTTGAAACAATGCATTTAGTTGAATAAAATGGTTTGAAACCATTGCTTATTTGTTCTGCTCATTTGAGGAAGAGATTTTGCCCATGAAAGCTCATGATACACTCTCTCTCTCTCTCTCTCTCTCTCTCTATACAGGCAGTCCCCGAGGTGGCGGATTGCTACCTGCGAGCTCCGGGGCGAGAGAGCCCCGTTCGTAAGCTGCTCCGGTGCCCCTGGTCTGCTGGAGACCGTCTCCAGCAGACCAGGGGCACCAGGCGGGTTCCCGCGCTTCTGAGGCTTTGCCAGAGCAAAGCCTCAGAGGCGCGGGGAACCGCCGGTGCTGCCGCGT